AATTCCTATCGTTTCCTATCAGATCAAAGTGAGTCTTCATACTGAGCATGGTAATATTGTTTATACGATAAACAATGTTACTACTCTTTGCCTAAAAAGCAAAGAAATATGATGCATGATCACAGGATAATGGCAAAGACAGTGATAATGACAGTAAGTGTTAAGTTTACTTGCTGCTAGTAAATTATTCATATATATGGGAAAGTACACAAGATGCAGCAAGGAAAATTCCAACTGGACCTGAGGAAAAAAATCCACAATGAGGACTGCCAAGGGTTGCGACAGGTTGCCCAGAGAGGCTGTAGAATTGCCATCATTGGATATATTCAAACTTTATTTGGATAAAGCTCTGAGCAATCTGATTTAACTTTAACATTAGACCTGCTTTGAGCAGGGGCATTGGACCAGATGGTGTCCAAAGGTCCCTCCAACCCAATTAGTGTATGGTTCTATTCCAGATACTGTTCTAGTGGATAGGGAATTTAACACTGGAAATAAAAGATCCAAAAGTGGTTATATTTGGTCTATTTTTCATACCTGAATAAATATGCAGTAATTTCAGGTAAGTTGCCACCAGTTTGAGGGAGGTGATCTTCCTCACTAGTCAGCACTGATGAGGTGACATCTGGAGTGCTGTGTCCAGTTCTGGGCTTCTCAGTACAAGAAATATATGAAGCGAGTCCAGCACAGGGCCACAAAGATGATTAAGGGACTGGAGCATCGTTCATATGAGGAGAGGCTGAGAGTGCGGGGACTGCTCAGCTGGGAGACAAGAAGGCTCGAGGGGATCTTACCAGCATGTATAAATACTGGATGGGAGTGAATGAAGATGAGGAAGTCAAACTTCTCAGTAGTGCACGCTGACAGGACAAGAGGTAATGGGCACAAATTGAAAGATGTGAAACCCCATCTAATCACCAGAAAACATTTTTTTACTATGAGGGTGGTCAAAACTGGAACAGATTGCCCAGAGAGGTGGTGCAGTCCCCACCTGTGGAGATATTCAAAACCCAACTGGACACTGTCCTGGATAACCTGCTCTAGCCGGCCCTGCTTGAGCAGAGGGGTTGGACTAGATCATCTCAGGAGGTCTCTTCCAGCCTAAGAAATTCTGTGAAGTTTTCAAGATTTTAAAAGCCATAAAATGGCATTTCCGTCAGATGTCTAGAGACTCAGTATTCAGTGAAGGTGAATGCTGTGGCTTCCCTCTAAATATCATTCAGATTGTTCCACAATGTCTGTTAAGAAAAGTAGGGATTTTTTTTCATTATTTTCCCAGACCAGATGTGTCCCAGTAATTCTTCCGTCTACAAAATACAAGTAACTCTTAGGATAACTGGAGGGTAATTGGAGACTTGCCTAGAAACAGACTCCAGAGTAGCTCTATAGGGATATAAGGTTGTACTCATGTGGATCTACTTGCAGAATTAGAATTATTCACTCATTTCAAATGTTACTGAGAACTTGGCTGTATTGACCAATATTTATTTTCTCTCTGGAATTTACTTGAGAACTGACATCAAACACTGGTATTTTTAAAAAATGTTAGAGCTGCACTAATGAGTAAAAATAATGAAATGCTTGGAGTTCACAAGTTCTTATGCATCCTGGCTGTTCCTTTAAAAAGACACATTTTATTCGTATTAAATGTAAAGAATTACTCTGTTTCACATTAGGATGATCCAGTAGTTCTTCAGGGATTTCAACAAACTGCTCCTCTGCTTTGATAATGCTTAGAAAGCAGTCTTTATTTTCTGTGTGTTAAATGAGCTCATATATGTAAAAAAGGACTTAGTTTTAAAAAGATGTAAGTACTGTGTTAGAGGATACTCTGAGAACTGCTGAGTACAAGTCATTCGATAGGAAAGTCAGAAGTTTAAGAAACATGGCAAAATGAGAGCAGCTGTATTTTCATCACTGAGCTGAGGGCTATAATCACCCTCTCTGTAATACCACGTTTGCTGTCGCTAATACACGATATATATTTACTCTGACTAGCTCAGTTTATTTTGTTAATTCTGTTTCTCTCACAATATGAAAATGACCGCCTTGTTTGATTCAAACACTATTCCTCTGTTACCTTTTAACTGCTATAAGTAGATCAAAATGCTCACATCACTTATATGGCCCTATATTTTTAAATAAACCTGTTGTATGCAATGCTAGGGGTTAACTACCTTTGAAATTATAATTAATTCATAAGCATTTATTAACATGATTTGCTTCCTCGTGATATAAAGTAGGAGTAAGTATTTAAGGATCTTTGTTATACTACTGTCCTCTGATAATGAAAGGAGAGCTGCTTCTGCACTGCTGCTCATTTGTTCTTTATGTTGTGGTCTTGAAAGGTGCTGAATGCCTCAACTTTCATCGTGCTCAGTGAGAGTTAGGGGCACTCAGCATCTCATAAAGACAGCTTCGTTCCAGCAGGACCCAGCTCCTACATTGTGGAGAGATGAGGCGAGAATTTGTCACGTTGGCTGTCACTTACCCAGCGTGGGACTGGTAGTCCTTAAAAGAGGGACTTCAGTATGGCTTGTGGGAATCTACACCAGTTGCGTATGTTTGCAAGTATCACTACTGCCATGCAATTATTATCACTACTGCTATGCAATTATTACTGTATGGGGCTACACAGTATAATAAATGATGTAACTCTGTGTTTTTAATGTGCCTGAAGAGAACATTGTGTGTCCGTTATTGTGTAAACTTGAGCCTAGCTGATAAATTTGTTTAGAAAATGTTTTGGGGTTTGGGGTTTTTTTCCCCAGTAGGGACACTTGATAAACTATGCTTTGAAATCTCACTTAGAATCCAGTTTATTTTTAAAACAAATCTTACCAGACGCAGTCATTTTGAAACAGCCAGGAGAGCATCAGCAGTTGCTTGTTTTAAATACATGTATGTAAGTTTAATACAGCTGTATCATGCTTAGTCTACATTCAAGCAGGGCCACTCTCACGCTCGTTCTGAAAAACATCAACTTCTGCTAAACTGACAGAATGTGACTATCTCATGGGACTGTTTTAATTAGTATATATAGTCTACGTTGTGTACTTTCTCTGTTAGAGTTTAGTGTTCTCTAACCTTTGACTCGGCAGTGTGTGCTTTGTGGTATAATAATGCAAACAATGGTTAACAACAGAAGGCCAAAACCATCAAAACACAACTTTTTGTTAAACTATACCACATGCTGCTTCCAAAGATTTTTAGCTTTATAAACTTTTGTTCATGTTGTGGAGAAATAACCTCATACAAGATGAACACTTTATCAGGAAAAATTATGTGCATTCTGTTGAATTATGAATTCATGTGAATTCTATGTCAGGTTTATCATGCATTCGCCACTGCACTGTAACTTTAATTGTAATAGTTTTTAATGCACCTGAGTCAGCCTGGCCATTGAATTGATGTAAATGGAGATCTACTGGAGGGGAAACGTTCCAGAAGTGCGAATGGATGGCAGAAGCAGGCCTCAGTTATTAAAGCCTCCTGCTGTTGCAGCACATACCCAAGGATGAAAGGGAGACTGCGCTGGAGGGCCAATGCAAAATGAGAATTTATTTCAAATGCAGAATGGAAAAGCAAAGACCTAGCGCAGTCACAGGCAATGTGCAGCTAATACAGGAAACGCCTCCTTATATTTTTGTTATTATTGTTAAAAGGAGTATAGAAGAAACTTTCTAGAAATAGCGCAATTGAAAAATACCATTAAGAGAGCTTTAGTTTTATGGATCCTTTCCTGGTAATACGGCGCATTTCTGTGAATAGGGGAGCAATAAGCAGCTGCACTGAACCACGGAGACAGCCTTCACTCGCGCTTAATGGCTCTCCGGCTAGCTGGTCCCGCTTAGAGGGAAGCACGTGTGTAACATGTGGAACTGTTTACAGGACTTGGGCCTAACTTAGTCCAGTGGTTTAGTATTTCCTCTTGAGGGATGGAAAAATGGGGTTAAGCTTCACCCTTCCACGGGCAGAAGCTGAAGTTATTTTTAAGAAACGGTGTAAGGGCCGAAGTGGGACGAGCGACGTGCCGCTGGCAGCCGGCTAGGGG